AGGGGCGATCTTATCCAGGCTTTCAAGATAATTAAAGGAATAGATAATGTCGAGTGTGGTAGGTTTTTCCAGTTTGATGGCAACAAGAGAACGAGAGGTAACCGACTTAAGTTTAGAAAACCGCAGGTGCGGCTCAGGTCGAGACCGGAATTGTTTACTTGCAGAGTGGTGAACGCGTGGAATGCATTAGATGACGAAGTAGTGGCTGCTCTTCTGTGACTATCTTTAAGAAGAAACTAGATGCTTTCAAGGACAGGCAAAAAGGGGGGGCAATGTTGACGTTACGTAATAGGCAGTAAGCAACTAGGATAGTCAAATAAAAAATAAATAAAAAATAGAAAAAAAAAACAAAAAAATATATATAGCCTCATGAGGGTTAGGCCTAACCTAAAATTAAGGAAAGCTGGACCTAGACACGTGATATCGAAACGAGCGAAATCGCCTCTTGATATCGCTAACTTTCCTGAATCCTGACCAAAACGAGTCTGCAGTCTACTCCAAGGGTCTCTCTCGAAGGGCAGTAGAATCATTATTAGGCAGAATTTTGATCCAGGGGGGTTATATTTATATTCCCATAGTCCCTAACAATTGCAACTGAATCCTTACCGGACGTCTTGTTGTTACGGAGCCTATTATTTGACAACAGTGTGGCATGCACTGCTACTTCCTCCATGTTGTTGCCACATTGTTTGGTGACCATGAGTCGCCCGACTTTAAATTTTATTCGTAATATAAAACAATCAAATGCGGAGTCTGTCATGGGCAACCGAGACTGTCATAATTCGGAGTCTTCTTGCATCTTAAGCGATTTTTTCTAGCAATAGTAATTCCAGGCACTGTATAGGAAGGAATTGATTTAGGCCGGATAGGATCCCCATCAATATGTTAATTTCAAACGTATTCCCCTTTCATGGCAGGGTCATGCATAAGTGAACACCCAAAGATAGAGAACATGTCTGTGAACATGAGCTACAAGAACTGGGATGGGAAATACCCTGCTCCACCAGGTGCAACCGTCATATTCCGCTGTCCTGCAAGGTTCAATGACGGGTCCTTCGAACACAATGCTACTTGCTCTTTGCTGCATGATCATGATTGGGACACATCCTTTCAGAACAAGGATGTGCAATGTCCACGTGAGCCTCTCCGGTCATACCTTCGAAAATGTCATTCTTTAGGAATACCTTGGTCGCCTGAGAATCTCCTGAAAAAAGTGGGAATTAAGCATACTGCGCAAGCGCTTCACAGAAGTTCGATTACCGTTCCACGGTCGACCAACATTTCCAGAAGTATTTCCTAGGGAACAGAGTCTATCCATGACAAGTGGTCCAAAGTTGCTGCAAGGTTGGTGGTTGAATCACCGACCGGGATATTGCTGGTATAAATAATGTGCAATGGGGGCTATGAGAATCGGGTAAATCTGAAAGGTCTGCAGTGTACGTCAAAGGGTCGTTCAGATATGTCCATTGAACCTTTTAGAGGGAATGATAAACTGATACCTCTAACAAATTCATTACTTCCGGAACTGCTTAAGCTAGGAAAAAGAAGAACAGCTTACTTAAAAGTAAGTATCATGGCCTCTCTAGGTTTTTCTATTGGATTTTCTGTGCCTTGATTAAACGAAGTAATTTATTATGAACGTCATTGAAACCTCAATTTTCAATCCCCCCAAAATTTTCCCCTGTGAAAATACTTGTTAACCAACCAGCTTTGGAGCGTCTTCCATGTTCTATGAGCTTATTCAAGAGATTTATTCATGTTGTTTTTAGGTCGCTTAAAAAGTATGCTATGCGGACTTAAATTAGGAAATTTTGCCGCATTTTGTCAGCGCTGACATTAAATAACTTCAATAATTCCGTTTCTATCAAGTTCGAGGAAGAAAACCTTATACTTAATATTGTGAGTTTGATACTGCTTGGAAAACACTTACTCCCAATTTAAACACGTCATACTATAAAAGAATTGAATTAACATGTGCATGATATCGATTATTAAAATTAAAACGAAGTAATGGTCATTGCGCTCATATCGCATTTCCTGTTAATCGAACTGCAATGTATCACTAAACCTTGACCTCATGCATCTCACCTAATACGTTTCGTTATCGTTTGAAGGAAAAAGTCCGGTGTTTGATGATTATTTTCATAATAGCGGCTGTATATCCTGACTGCCGTCTGTCGGAGAGTGGGAAGGAGTACATCGGTACCACGAACGTGACAGATTCAGGGAAATCATGCCTCAGGTGGGATTCCAAGCAAGTGACTTCTTCGTATGGTTCCGTGGAGGCAGGGTTCAATGGAGTCTTGTCTTTCGAGGAGCACTTCTTGAACCAGGACCCGTCCTGGCACGAGAACTTCTGCCGGAACCCAACAACGATGGCTAGGCCATGGTGCTTTGTCGACGTTGACGGTGTGAAGATGGAGTTTTGCTACATTCCCCTTTGCGATGATTTGAGTGAGATTTCTTTTCAATTTCGTTTGGGAGAGGCTGCTTGGTAGATACCAGTCTAATATTTGAGAATATGAACATCGATAACCCCGCTGGCATTCTTTATATAGTTTTTGGATTTGTCATTTCGGTTTTCTTTAAGTTAATATCATTTAAATACTACGAAGGGATGAGCTCCTCGCACCGCACATTCGTACAAAACCGAAGCCTTCGTTCGCATTCCCCACGTGAAGATGCCACTCTTACTAGACGAAGTTCTTGTTTAAGATTGACCTCGAGTAGCAACTGGTTCATTAACTACTCTTGAGGGAGAAGGGGTGAGAATAAATGAACACGTATTCAGTAGTTGAACAACAAGTATTAGAGATCTAATCCCGCATGTCAAAGGGTGTGTATGCTTTGTCACTGGACAGCCAACATAAGGGTGAGGAAGTTCACCATGAAACAAAGATACTTGTAAACTTACATGCTCACTTTGATGCCCAGTACATTAGTGCTTTCTTAACCATGCCATGAAATCAAATGTGTCTTCCTTCATTCAAGAAGGCATTAGGTAAGTTCATGGGCAGTATGATGCATTGCCCCTCCTAACAAAACATGTATTGCCTTGTGGGGTACACTCAAGGTCATCTTACAATCTCAACCCCGTTGATGCATTCTCTCACTTGGGTGGTTCAATCTCTTCTTTTATGGCCATCTTACATCCCTCCCATTAACATGGAATATCTATGATAGTTCTAATTTAAACGACTCCAACGGGTTACTCTGACGACTCGCGACAATGTGGCAGCGTATTGTTCTTGCTGATTGGAAGTCGATATTCAGTGCGAATCATTGACTCTCTCCTCTCAGGAAGCCAGAGACTGATGACCACAGAAGGAACAGGAACTTTTTAGTTCGTATCATCCATGCCATTCCATTATGGAATCAGGCGACGGGCTGAAACTAACTTTCCTCATTTTAGACCAGTATTACTTGTTATTAGAGCTGACTTTCACCATTACATTTAGTGAAGTTCCTAATTCCATAGAATTCTAATGTATTTCCCCGTGCTACATTTGGAAAAAATTGATCGATTGATTCCAATCGAATTGATTGATTCCAGATTATCCTGATTCAAATGAGGATGACACGGTGTTCAGACTATATTCCATAATCCAAAGCTCTTTATCGTTAATTTCAAAAATTGCACCAAAATTGCCCCGCGTTTGTCACGGCTCGTCAAGGATGACAAGACCCTCTGATTCGTTTCATTTCGCGCGCACTTGCAAGTCTTCATCTTAGCGCAGGGATCTGAAATTAAAAGGAAGAACTACTTAGATACATAAAAATACACAGTGAAAAAATATTTGGGATCTGACAGTAAGAAGTCACTTTTTCCGGGAACTGTTTGACCAGTCATTGTACTGGTAGAACATTTTGTGAACGGGTTTACGACCCGAGGGGAATTATTATGAGAGTGCTGAGAGATGTTACTTTTTCGCGATCCTGTAGATGACAGGGCAAAGGAACAGGACGCCACTTCGTCAAAAAAGATTTATGGAGCACTTCTTCGACTGGACGCTTTGTGGAATGGCTTCCGCGAAACGTCCAGTCGAAGAAGTAGCGGATAAGTATCTTTCGAGGATGTGACTCGTAACCGTCCAGAGGACAGTCCTTTTGAAGATTTGACTGTCCTCTACATAATCCCCTGTTATGCTGTGACTCCAAATGTCTCTATTTATTTTACATTCAGAAAAGTTTAAACTTCCCTTCTTAAGGTGCAGTTCGAGAACAAAATCTACTTTGGAAATGATGATATTCATTACTAACTAAATGCTGCAGATTTACGTGAAGCACTGTCGTAAACCGGCGAAAGGACACGTAACAGTACACATTCTGAAATATGAAGATATTGATAATTGTAAGCCGCTGCGATATCAACGGAGTCCGTAGTCGACAATGCCTCGTGTACCCATTGTTGACGCGGAGCACTTTGTCCGGAAAGGCATTCAGTACTGTATAGTGCTTTTCTTATAGCAGGAATTAAGTCATTGCGCCAAATAATGTAGAAATGGTTAGACCTTTTCCCAAGTAACACAAGATATACCAGCAACGTTTAGGAAATGTTGATGAACAATTTTGCATCTATATGTAAATGTCCAAAACGTCAACGTTGCTCAAATGTTGCTAAGGAACATTGCATTTACGTTGCAAATCGCTACTTATTCATTTCATATACGTTGCAGATACGTTTCAGGATTTATGTTGCTGCAATGTTGATTAAAAACGTTGCTTCACTGGCACCTAATCTGGGCCCATATAGGCATTACGGAAAAGCATAGGCTTCACTGGTCTTGAACAGGACCGATATTCGACCAATATTGAATTATTTATTTCATCCTTTCGTACCATACACTTTACCTCTCTACTCAGACATTCTCATCAACAGGACGAAGCCTGTACTGGTTTTACCCTCTACCCATGCAAAATACATTATCTGTACCATATACAGGCAGGAGACGGTACATTTTTGGAGGTGATCTTCCCTAGGATGTGCTAAATTGCACAATACAGGAAAAGGTCCGACAGCAATGTTCTATGGAGTGTCCACGAGATCAATCCTTCGTTTTCTCAGCTGGTAACCCAGAATGAGGATATGAAGTAGTGAGATCGCAGACTCTCTACCATCGTTTTTACTGTCCTGTAGGATGAATTTGACGAGTTCTTGGAAAGGGTTCTTTTTGGGAATATGAGCTTTTTTGTCTTGACCCCATTAATCTGTCTGGAAAATGAGGATAACAGGTGATGAAGTGCCCGTGTTCATTGATTCCTATAATTAGACAATGTGGGACAAATGGCAAGGTACTAGACATTCCTGTGCGGGACTATTCCAGGGAAAGGGAGAAGGGCACATTTGTGTACTATGAGAAAGCAAGACTTAGGTCTCCATCTCGTGTCAAGGACAACTTTACAATTCTCTAAAACTTCTAAGTCAATGTGGTATCAGAACGTTATCGCTACGTTGTCGATGTCAAGATTGTCAACATTCTCTCAATGTTAATAGCTAATGTTGCAATGACATTCGCAGAAGTGTCACAGCAGCATTCCAAGTGAAAACATTGAAGCAATGTTTTCTCAATGTTGTACAGTAACTTACAACATAGAGCAACATAGGCAACATTTCGGAAAAGTTTCATCAACATGCTGTGTTACTTGGGAATGAGTATGGCCCACATGTAATGAGCTTCCGATTGAAATCCATAGTATTCAAATGAGCCTTACCGAACGTATTTGGAGCTGCTGGAATCTGATGGAAAAATGGGAATGGTACTCGTCATCAGAGACTTCCAATTTTCTTCATAGGAAAAAGTTCCGGTGAATTCCGTCCTTAGCATTCTGAAGGAAAACACTTTTCGAATTTCAAACATACCTCTATCAATGATATGGGATATGTTCCGTCGTTAGGGAAACCCACATCTTCCGCTTACAAATGTTCAGATACTTCTGCACTTTAGCCTTAAAGTGAGAGCGGTCGTACGAATTTCGTGGTCCTCGATGAAGAACAGGCAAGATGTTGACATCTGCTGGGATGCGAATTTGCTTGATAGGACCTATATTGCCCATGCATTGGGCATGTAGATCGGTAGGCAAAAAATGTTACAATCAGGTGGTAGCGAATACTTCATTAGAGACAGACAGTTCTAAAGCTTAGAGGCCTAAGCGAGCAATGTACCGACTCGATCGAGGAACGCGTTTAGGATTAATTGCGAATCGTGGTATCTGAACACTTCGCCCGAGAAAACGTTCAGTTGCTATTCTTGTCCCCGAAATTTCGACTTAAAGAGATAATGCATATCAATTGATATTTACTCTATAGGTACTTTGGAGTATACAGAGTGTTCGTGTTTTCATCAGGGGGCTTTAATAACTTAAATTTTGAGAAAAGAAACTTGGTAGAAAGTAATCAGGTTGATTACTTTCTAGGAGTGATTACTTTGATTACTGAGGAGATATTAGCTAAACAATTTGTAAATATTATTATTGTTTTTAACTTAACCCGTTTAGACTTCAATGTTGGGGCGCTATTTCTGGGACTCGAAAATAAGCTGGAAATTCTCTTGAGATATGCCAGGTTTCCATTTGCCCCTTTCTTGGGCAACACGCACACAATTTATTGGAAGTCCTTCCACTACCTTTGAGTCGAAATGTCGCCTGAAGATCGCTTTTGGAGACTTACCTAAATTAGCGCTGAATAAGAACAGCACGATTCAGTTCAACAAAGCTTTAAGAGACTTGAGATTTTTCTGATCTCGTAGCCATAACTTCACTGCCAGATGTAATGGATTATCCTTTCTCCATGTACTTCTCTTTTCTTCCCCTACCATAAAAGTCAAATGTGAATATTCCAGTTGGTAAAATTTTGCCAATGTCTCCTGCAAAGAAGATGCTTTGTCGATGATGATGATGATGTGATTATTGAGTTTTGCAGTATTCCTCTTTGTGGTGACTTGAGCGAGGAATCGTTTCAATTTCGTCTGAAAGAGAAATGTCCCAAATATAAATTTACTGCAAGTAGTTTTCAAGATATGCATTTCTGAAGCAGCATCCAATAAGGTATCACCGCCAATTAAAATGATTGTAATTCAAAGTTCCAGATTTCACCCGAACAAGTAGTACTCGGTTCAGAGATGGCGTACATTTCCTGCAACTAATTTTTGTTTGTTGGGGTGGCCTCGTTTCCACGTCCAGGCGCGCCGGAATGCAAGTTGAGCCAGAAGGGAGGAGAGTACGTGGGCACGAAAGACAGGACCATTTCAGGCTTCGCCTGCGTGCCATGGCTAGATCCGGACAGAAGTGAAGGTGACATGATGCGTGGGGCCCGTGAAGGATCATTCCCAGATGAAGTCACAAAAAGCCACAAGTTCTGCCGAAACCCTAACGGTAACCCAGGTGGTCCTTGGTGCAACATCAAAGATTCCCGAAAGCCGAACCTGAAGTGGGAGTACTGCGATGTCTCTTTTTGCGATTTTGACGATTCGGGAGGCGGAAGCAAGTCAGGAGGCCAATATGAATCAAGTGAGTTAGTGTAATCTCTATAGACTAGGGGACCATGGCCGCCAGTGCGGTCTCTCACCCTGGGACATCTACTTTTTTTTTCACGGCTCATCAACTAAGAATGGTCTCAGCCAGCTCTCAGCCTCCTGCTCTCCAAATGTGGTTCCATGTCATAGCATCGGCGCCAAAACAAAGAAACGACCGAACATCGACGACAAAACGTCGACGCGAAAAAACGTTGACAAGACGAAATATCAACGTGATAATTTTAGAGATCGCTACTGTTGCATACAGGGTGCGCGAGTAGAATTGGCGTGGAAAATACATAAAGGAAAAACATCTCTAAAATTTATAATTTTAAACATTTATTGAAACTTCCAGAAACAAGATCAAGGTAGTGCTTTATGGATGGAACTTATTCAATAAAGCCACATTCAGCATCAATCACAGCCTCCAGACGACCTCGGAAGCGAGAACAGGCGCGTTTTGCAATCTCAGGAGACCAATCTTGAAATGCCTGGCAGATTCTCTCCCTCAGCTCAGCTATATTGTTACAGGCAGTCTTATTAGTGATCCTTTCAACCGCGCCCCACATATAATAGTCAAGAGGATTGCACTCAGGTGAGTTTGGAGGCCACATATCAGTGGTAACATGGTCGAAAAAGTTATCCTCGAGCCACTTCTGAGTTTTCCTGGCCGTGTGTGATGGTGCAGAATCTTGCTGGAACACGTATGGTCTTCCTGCGGCAACTTCTTCAATCCAAGGCTTGACTATGGTCGCCAGAACGTCTTGGTACACATTCTGGTTCACTCTCAGGCCTTCTTCAAAGATGTATGGGGGCATAACATGCCCGTAACTGCTGACGACACCGAAGACCATTCAAACAAAGTCTCACAGTGCTCTGAGAATGGCCCAGACGTCGAGAAATCTCACGGATTGAGATGGATCGTTGTTAATGATCGTTAGTCGTTGTTAATGAGTTGCTGCACATTTGAAATGAAATCGCCACTCCTCACCCTCTGTTCAGCTCGATCTGGTGTCTTTCTGGCGGTCATGGCCTCCACATCAAAGTCTGAATCCACTAACTGCTTCCTAATTCTCTGGATTGTCCTCAATGGCAACTTCAACTTGTCTACGATATCGTTGTTGGTCATCCCGGCGCAGATGGAGTAGACTATCACCTTCCTTCTCCACTCCTCAGGTCACTCATTATCATCCAATCTGTTTGGGGTCTGCATTCTTTGAAGTCTTACTGATAACTGAGAATCTTGAATCAATAACATGTGTCAAGAAAATATTGTATTATCTGGATTTTACCTGTTTAAACTCGCGCCAATTCTACTCGCGCACCCTGTATATGTTGGAGGGCCTTGCTGCGATCCTCTATCAATCCAGGATATCTGACAAAAGGATAGCATGCTTGAGGATAGCATGCTTCCTTTAGCGAGCAATTTGGTGCTATTCATCCGTCTAATATTTATTGCTTGGTTGGAGAGAGAGAGGCTTGGTAAGAGAGGCCAAATACAAAGAATAAAGAATTAGAATAAGGTATCAGCTTTTGTCAAGAATGAGAACGGGAGAATATGCGTAATGGAGGAGCATGTCGTTCCGCAGTTCAAAATTACACCTGGCGATTGAAATTATGTGCAATCCTTTGTAAATACTTTTTCAAGGGCCGCTGCTCATAATCCAAATCAGTAGACTTGATTCGGAGAGCGCATTGACGATAAACTTTGCGGCACGGAGGAGGGCGCTGCCCTGCAATATATTGTTCTATCCTGAGTTCATTCAGGCTTTGCTCCTTCTTGAGGCAATCGATAAACTTCCAGACAGAAAGATGATTAGCCCCAAGAAGCTGACTGAAGCCACGATGCAATCCCTCGACTGAATTTGTACTTGGTAGTCCATTTGGAGCAGCCTCTAACCAATTCCATGAGCTGATGTAGTACAGAGGTTCTCTACTGTGACCCCTCCTATCGGGGCGCCAAATCCAAGTGTCCTCGAAGTAATCCAAGACTGGACTCAGCAATGCTTCATTCGTCACATGGAGATATTGCGGCTCTCTCATGCCGGATGTTCTCTTTTAGGGCCTCTATGGTTTGTGGGTTATTGGCATACACTTTATCCTTGAGATGGCCCCAAAGAAAAAAGTCTGGGGAGGTCAAATCCGGCGAGCGCGGTGGCCATCTCACATCACCAATTTTCGATATAATGCGATTGGGAAAATGCTGCCTTAGGAGGTCCATTGTGGCTCGAGCGGTGTGAGACGTGGCGGCATCCTGTTGGAACCACATATTTTGGTGTTCTGGTAGCTGTGGCATCAAAAAATTTGGAATCATTGTCATATATCGCTCTCCATAGATGATCTGAACAACACCATCATCATCCTCAAAAAAATGAGGCCCAATGATGCGTTGGGCTGTTAACTTAACTCCAAACCGTTACCTTAACTGGATGCAGTGGTCTCTGGTGAGTTATTCTTGGGTTCCCAGTGCCCCAAAATTGACAGTATTGTTTATTAACAAAGCCACTTGACTGATAATGTGCTGCGTCTCTCATCATCAAATTTGAAATAAAATTATCCTTTTCTGCGAGGTTTATGAAGCCATGTGTATATTCCAGTTGCGTTTGCTTGTCTTCGGGATGAAGGGCTTCGACTAATTGAATCTTGTACAAAAAGTGATGCAAGTCCAAATTCTCTTCAAAATTCGCTGCAGCGAACGGCGAGAGCAGAGCGTTTTCTGGTCGATGTTTGGGGTTGATCTGCAACACTCTCCCGTACACGTGAAAATTTTTCATATTGATCGACCACTACGAGGTCTTCCAGTGTGTCTGGCATCCGCAACAGTCCCCTTTTCTTCAAAATTTCGAACTGCAGTGTAAATTGTGTTCCTACTCGGTGCCTCGCGAAATTGCCTATTTGCTCGTTGTGCTAGAACTATTGACCGATAGTTTTCTAGAACATTGTAACTATTTTGGTCTGCTGAGCAATTGTATATCTCTCCATAATTAAATTATCCAAGGGTTATCTTTAAGTAAAACACAAAAAACTACAAACCTAAAAAAAAACTTTAAAAGTTATGCTTTTTTTAATGTTCAGCTTATTTTGCGCCACCTTGCATTTCCGGTTTGGCTGGGCATCACAGCGAAACCGGTAGGTACCACATCGTGATACTTCACAAGAATTGTATAAATTTGCATAAAGCGGAGAAGTGAATTCTTGAATGTGGCGTGAGCATACACAGAACATATTAGAAGGTAATGTGACAAGGCAAGGATGGTGGTATTGGACAGGTAACTTCACGGTCATTTTACTTTTTATCTAACCTATAAATAGGTGATCACAATTTAAATGGGTGATCAAATTTGCCATAAAATGCATGTTTCTGATTTTTCCCTGTGCCGCCGTCATACAGTAGAAAGGGTTCACCTGTACATGTTTTTTTGTATTCTTCAGAAACCCTTAGGTTGTCCAAACGACTTGGGGTCGGCAATGGGACTGTAGCTCTCTGCCTCGCCCGGTGTTCAATTCTTCTCATGGACGAAATGGACGGCAATTGCCCACTTACTGAATCTCACAATCTAGCAATTGATTTGGCGATGATGTTATGAGCAATGTCCTGTGTTCTAATGAAGTCCCACGGAGCCAGTCGAGTGAATCATTTGAGTATCCAAGACCCTAAATCCTCCCTCCCTTTCGCCCAGGCCCACCTCGCAGGTTGCAAGCAAGGGTTCCAACTTCGTATTTTTTTATGATTTTTCCGCCTTCTCCCCATATCCTCATTGCCCCTCGAGTTTGGTGGTTCTGTATGGTACGGATAAGGTTTAGGAAAGTCACCACCCTCGGAACTGTTTCGATTTACGGGTTGGGGGTGAGAAGAAATTCGATCCTGAAAAAAAAAGATTGCACGATTTCTCAGACCAGGGATTCCATGGTTTTGTGGCATGTGCCATAATCATTACAGAGTAGATAAAGTTTCTTCCAAGAGCAGGAAAGTAAGATATAGGTAGTACGTTTTTGAGGGTGGCAGGCGGGTCGATGTGGATCTGCACATGAACTGATGATGAGTCTACCTGGCATCTTGTACCGAGTTCTTTAGTCCTGGCCCCACGGAAAATAACTCGGCTCGATTGCAAGGAACCTAAAGTCGCTGGTGACTTCAGGGCTTTTTGCATGGAGTACTGAGCACTTCTCTTTACTCATGGGCAGGTAGATCGCTCTTTGTAGGGCATATCATGATCACAGACGTTCGTAATATTTCGCCCGAGAAATCATGGCTTTCCTTTTTCAAGAGGATATCCCTTTCGGCATATTGGAATATATTTTCTCTTTTATTGATTTCCAGGACCATCAATCACTAATTATGGCGAGTTTTCTAGAGGCTATGTTTCATCAGATAGAGAAACATTTGATTCGTCAATGCTCCATTCACCTGACGCTATCGTGAGCCTAAAATGGCTTTCCTAAAGAAAATGGTGTCACACAGGTGCCGGATCTCAACTTAAGACTTATTTTATTCCTTATTTATAAATATATATAAACATTCGGTTGGTTGGAAATTTTATACAATGGGCACTCACTATGAGCATTCAAAAAATATAGAATATCTTTGGTATTTACTGCCAATTTCCCATTGGGCACTTCAATAAGTCATTAAGTGCATGAATACTCCACTGCCGAAATCTCTACCAACACCATCGGCGTGAATTACACGTTTTTTGTACAATATCTGGCATTATTGCTTGACAAATATGTATCAGACTGTACTATTGAGGTACTTTTCACTACAGGGAAGAAGGTTGCTTCTTTTCTGCTACTCATGCACATGCATAAATGGGTCTCAAATTGATTGTCATTCCATCGCAGACGGAGGAGTACTGCAGCTCAATTACGAAGAATGCCGAATCACAGTGATGGGGAAGGAATACATAGGTGAAGCGAACAAGACGGAAACAGGAAAGGAATGTATTTCCTGGATGGATGTGATGGAACAAGGCTTTCCGTTAACAAGTTTCATTTTCTCCCACTTACCATTCCAAGATCGCCAGCTCCCTGGACCGCCTCAGAAGATCGTGGATTTCCTCTACTTGTGGATTGAATCAGTTCACTATACGAAATCACGCTCACCTGAGTTCGACACCTGCCGAAATTACGGCTCGAAGCAGCGGCCCTGGTGTTTCGTCTCCATTGAGAATCCCGCATGGGAATACTGTGACATTCCTTTCTGTCGTGGTCCCAAAGGTTTGCAAATATTTCAATAAGTTTCCCAATCTTTTGAAGTGCAAGTTTTGTTTGCGCTATATCTGTACCTGCCAGTTTGAGTATTTCTTCCCCTAGTATTAACCCTTTTTTCCGATAAGAAATCATGTAACTGAGGAAATGGAGATAATAACTTAAAATTTTTGACAAGTTGTCGCTTTAGATGCACAATTGCTGAAACATTTCCAGTTTTAAGTTAAGAGACGTCAAGAGCCTGAAATACTTTTTAACATGTTAAGATATCTTGAGAAAGTGAAGGAATTTTCTCACATTTTAATTGTTTTTGTATGTCGTCCTCGTTTGTTAACAATTTCTCTAGAATCCTTCATCAGTCCCATCATACAGAACTTTTACCTTGACATGTCCATACCTTCTTATATCTCAATACATATCACAAATATCACATCCACGCGAGTAATCGATGCAATTGGCGCCCGAAAACAAAACACCACCACCCAAGCAGCATGTTCACGTAAACAATATATCAATTTTTTTTGCAAACAATGTAAATTTCTTGCGATTGCATGAAAATGACATCACGTTTACATAAAATGTACTTTCCCAAAATTTACGTCACCAAAGTGTACGTAAACTAGACGTCACTCCATCTGACGTGAAGTACATGATATCAAGTACATGAAAAATTAACACCACACCATCCATATAAAACTTTAGCTGACCATCCTGCTGCTGCAGTACCAAGATTCCTCACTAGATGGAACCCTTGTTTCCCTGCATCCTGC